AACTGAGGTCTGTGTTAAGTGTATAGAGGATCAAGGCCCCAGAAAAGCCCATCGGTGGGCTCCTTCTGACTGCCCAGTGTGGTAGCTCAAAATTGATAATATAAGTGTATAATTGACATCACTAAATACTATGTTTGTACGGCAAAGTTTGAATATCTTTTCTGTGACTTCATAGTGTATTGTTTCTGTAGTGCTTTCTTGAATGAGCAAATCAATGTAGACATGCATCTGATCTGAATAAGTTTAGTAGCTAAATGAGCTCACCTTAGAGCACTGCTGTTTCGTTTAACATATTCATTAATTTCCAAGGAAAATACACTTTTTAATGTTTAATATTTCCATTTATTTTTCCCACAGGCCAGCAAACAAGTTGGAAATATGGGAGGATTTAAAGATAATAAGTAAGTGGAAATGAAGTAATCCAGATGCATAATGTTTAGCATAAATTTAAAGTCTTTCACACCCTTTGAAATGCACACTTTACACTGGGTTGTTGTTTCAGTAGATATGAAGATAGTGTAACACGCTACATGGCAAATCTCCTCCATGCCCCTGGCTCCCAAAAGCTCCTCATGAAGGAATTTTTTGTAGCCCTGAGGGAGGTTAGAAGCTCAGAGACAAAGGTGAAGAATTTTATTGGCCTTCATGTTACCTTGCTCAAGAAAACTTTGTGAGAACTTTCTGTGCCATCACAGAAAAATCAAACTAGTTTTTTCAGAAAGTCCTGTGCTGAACCTGACAGAAAACATCACTCTGAAATGTAGGCCAGCCCTTACCTGGCCAGCATTTTCCTCTCTTCAAGCCTGTTGCAGAGAACCACCATAGCCATGGTAGTGGACGCTTTGGTTCATCATCTTACTTAGTGGCTGATGGAGGAGGGGAGGGGAGGATAGTGAAGTCAGATAATTATGCAGTGAAATACTACTGAGCTTTTTTTACTACTTTTGATTCTTCGGTACCATTTGTTATCCCTACCACCCCCCTGGTGTTGTCTGTCCTTCCTTTTGGTTTTGTTTCTCCTTTTCACACCACCTTTGCAGATCCTATTTTTAATCCAGCTCCTTTCTTCCCGTGTCCTTGCTACTCGGCGCTCATCCATATTTATTCATGTCACTTCTTCCACGTGTCCTCTGTTGCCTAGTGGCTGGTAGCTGGTGCTCATTTTAATTTGCTGCTGCCTTAGGTAACTTTTGTTCCCAAGCTGCTGTTACGCCTTCTGTGTCTTAACTGTGTGACAAGGGCGAACGTAATATGTGTATTTCCTGGCCTAATGAAGAAAGATGATTTGACAGTACATCCATTTTCCTTCTGGAGCAACTTGTATAATTTTTTATTTTTTTTTCCCAGAAAAACTTGTGTAATGTGCAAAATGATATTAATACCAAGGCTTTAAATGGGACACTTTAGATGTAGCTCCAGAACATACTGGACTTGTGACCATCTTGGGCGTGTGTTGTGAAAATGTGTGTTATGACAACCAATGAGAGAAATGTGACTGGGTATTTAAAAATCATCTGGAGTCTCGGAGAGCACTCTGCTTCCTTGGCTCACCCTTATTTCTTTGACTTTGGAGTTATTTTGTTGTCTCTCTTCAAGGTTTCACGAGAAGCATTGTAGCTGTATATAGTACCTGTATGCTAGTAGTTCTTTTGCGAGTCCAATTAAATATTATTGGTGGTTACATCTACCTGGATAATGCTGCCCTCTGCAAAAATGGCACAGTAAGTTTCTTGTTTTGTTTTAAAGGTAGAAATTCCACTTTGTTGGAAGTGAAAGGGTTATTTAGTGAGAGATAAAAAGGGGCATAGCTTATGAGTATTCGAATGAAATGAAGAGCTCTTACAAGAGTGGGAGATGTGGAAGCATTATTGGAAGTAAGATGTATTGGTGTGTTCTAATAGCCTCTACATTTGGATGATTTGGTGATACTGTTGCTTAACAAAATATTAGCAATATTGAATAATACCTTTTGTCCACATTTGTATTGCTTAAAGAAGGTTACTTTGTATCTAAACACCAACATAAATAATTTCTTTGCTTTCATTAATTTTTCATGAAACAGTAATACTGTATGAATGATCCAATAGGTGCATGCAAATGTATATAAGTGCTTAGGTCTTCCCAGCACATACCTTAATTCCTCCAGTTAAATTTTCCTAGAATTAAAGAGGAAAAATGTTGTCTTTGACGTTTTGATTATTTTGTTTAACTCCAAAAGGTCACCTACCTAAATGTCTGTCGGTGGGGCCGAGCAAGGTAGAAGACTTGGGTTTTGTTTATATGGCATATCTAGCACTGCTCAATAAAAAAAGATGAATCCCGCAGTAAGCAAGTACCCGTTGTACAGAGTAGGATCTGCAAATTGTTGGACGGCTCGTCTGAGGATAATGGATACCAACTTTGATTAGTTGTCATACGCCCCCCTGTGATAGCTCCTGCTGAGAGTCAAGGAACAGCAGGTCAAGACAGGTCTGAGAAAAGCTTTCATTAGGGAGACCATGCTTTGTTTTGTGAGACCTGAAAAAGCTTTTTTAAAAGGGCAAGATGGGTTTGGACTAGAAACATGTTTCCTTTCTGTTATTTTTCCAATAGAGAAGTGGGCCGACAGGGCCAATGCTCAGGCACTCTGCTGGAGCAAACTGGGATCCTGTCTCGGTTCCTGAAAGCTTCTTTTCTGTCAGATGAGCTTTTGTTAGGATTGAGCAAAAACATCTATTCCACTAGATTTAATTTTTGGGGTGGTGGAGGGTCTAAAAAACTGCAATGCAGTTTTTTAAGAGACTTTCCTATATATGAATGAAACGTGAAAGATTTTTCTGTGCCACTGAAGATGGAAGAGAGATAGTACTGAAGAGAAGAATGTAGAGGACTTATGAAAGATCCATGAGTTGATGGCAGGAAGAGAGTCAGAAGCTACAGAGTTGCGTGAGAATGGGGGAATCTGTCTGCTGCAGGGTATTATAAAGATTAAGGAAATTGGTCGCAACAGGTTTGATATTATTTTTGCATTGTTCTCCACTGTTGGCATGTCACAGAACTGGTTTTTGTTTTTCCCCATAGACACCACTAGCTCCCCCTGAAGTTCAGCAGCAATATTTATCAAGTATTCAGCACCTTTTAGGAGACGGTATGATGCTTATTGTTAGCTAACCACACTTAGAAAAACTACTTTTTTTCTAGACTTGAGCACATCCTTAGAATAACTTTGACACTTTTCTTGTTCTAGGACTGATTGAGTTAATAACTATTGTTAAACAAGCTGTGCATAAAGTTTTTGGAAGGTAAGAGTCTCTATTTCTCTGTGGTTAGCTTTTAATCTTTATTGCGATGACTGTTCCTAAAACAATGAGTTTTATTAGCATTTAAAAAAAGGAAGACGTGCTGACTTTTTTCCAAAACAATGTTTTTATTATAGCAGGCTATGCCTGCCAGTGCAAACCAATATAGCAGACTGGGATCCTGTTACTTGTGAACGGGTTATCTGTAGGAGACAAAGAATCGTTATTTGGTTTGCAGTCAACACTGTAGTCTTGTTTTTTTGTTTTTTTTTTTTTCCCTTGCAGTATTTCCCTTAAGCACACCCTATCTCTTCTGGAGCTGGAACAGAAACTTAAAGACATCAGGGAAGTAGTGGAACATAAAGATTCAGATCAGATTGCATCTTACTCTCCCTTATGTCATTATCTGATGCCAGATGAAGAAAACCCCTTGGCTACCCAGGTGCTTCTTTCAGTCTCTCTCATCTACCTCTTTTCATTCTGTGCTTCTTGTTGGTTGGTTTTGGGGAGGGAAGGGTGCGTAACAGTCCTCTGGTTGTGCCGTGGCGTCTGTATCGTCAGTAAATGGCGATGCCCCTTCCGTCGTCAATCAGGTGTCCTTATCCCTTTAATGAAGGCGAAGTGAAGTTGTACTCTCTTCAGGTTTGACTGAAAACAAGTGTCAGCCTCAGACTGTCAGCTCTGAGCTCAGAAACACAGCCCAGTTCCAGCCTTTAGCCAGCGCCATACGCTGGAACACAATGCGACCTCACCCAGCCCTAAGCCAAATGGTGTTTCCCCGCACTTGTGCACCATCAAGGGTCACGGACAGTTGCAGCGTCTTGGCTGATGCGCAGGAAGGCGATGGTGTGCTGGAGTCCTTTGCTGCTTTGGGCTCAACGGGAGTCAAGAGAAAAGTGTCTCTAATCTCAGTTGTCATGTTAATTTCCTAGATTTTCTAAAGGTGTTTTGTCTCCATCCACACCACAGGTTGGAGAAAACTCATCCTTAACTTGGTATTACAGTAGTGTAAAGAAGAAACTTGGGCTTCACTGTGTGACTACATGCACTTAGCCCTTTAACTTAAGATGATATGCAGGGTTTATTTCAACTTTCGGAGGTCAGAAGTGGAAACAATGCTTTGCTCAATTAGTCTGGTATTTCCTGCTAGTATTGTTTTTACTAAAAAAAAAAAATCCTATAGTGACCATTTAAAAGTAAAATCAGAACACAAATTCTAAAGAATCTGATTTATGACAATAAATCTTTTTTTTAAAAAAATAGATTTGACTTATACATCTTGACTTAATTCCATGGTACAAAACTCCTCCATTTCTACTCTTATTCTTACAGTTGCCAATGGATTTCTTACTAAATAGTGTCTGTCTTTGCTTTTTCTAGGCCTGTGGACTCACAGAAAGAGACATTGCTACGATTAAATTACTTAATGAAACTAGAGATATGCTAGAAAGGTATACAGAAATACCCTGTATTCGTGTAAAACTCCTCCCCACAGCTATTGTTTATGAAAGACAATTACTTTCATATAAAAAACTTTCAGCTTGCCTTTGTGAAATGTGACCACTCTGCTGCATTAAATTTTTATATTCAGTAAGTGTAGGCTGGAATTTTCAAAATTTGAGAGCTCTGAAACTCATTTATATAATCCTGCCTTCATGAAATGACCAGGATGTCCTTCTCAGTCAGACCCCCTTCTCTCTCCCTCACCTTTTCTGTAGTCATGCAGAAACAGCGGAGTACTGCTCTTCTGCTAAAGCAGAGTAAATTGAGAATAATTTTATTTGATTTACTTGTTTTGATAAAATGAACACCAGTTTTGGCTTATCAGAAATTATTTTTAATGCATGGTGTTGAGAGCAGTTGTGTGCATCCCCTTACCAGAGAGCTACCGAAGCAAGGCTTCTCTAATAAATGTTGAATACGAGGGAATTGAGCCAAATGCCAAACTGTTCTTACAATTTAGCTGCTAGAGATCTGGGGCATTTTAAGGATGAGATAAGTCTCTTCTATCTTATTACTTAGTGAGAAACAGAAGTGAGGAATGCTTTGGATTTATCTGGGGTTTAGTAATCTTGGGGTAGAGTTTAGGCTGTTGATTGGTTTGCTGTGGAGTTACCGGGGAGCAAGTCTTTCTGGAGGTGGCTGTGCTAATGGCCTTTTGCCTGGGTCACACACCTTCCCTTTCGGGCGGGACATCTGTAGTCTGAATGCTTGCAGGTTTTTCAGTTTGAAAAAACAAATCCCAGGAATCAACTTTTTTCTTTTTCTTCAGTCCAGACTTCAGTACAGTTCTGAGCACATGTTTAAATAGAGGATTCAGTCGACTGCTGGACAATATGGCGGAGTTTTTTAGACCCACTGAACATGACCTCTCTCAGAATGGCTCTGTAAATAGGTAAATGTTTTCTCGTGTTGTGGTTCTCACATGAATAATGCCTTGAGTTCGTAGTGAATTCCAAAAAAGGCTATTGGTTTTTCTGCCTACTTGAAGGTCTTGCGTAGGAAATAATTCTGCTTCTTGCTCTTCAAGAATAAATACAGTTCTCTTCCTTTCAATGAAGCAGACAGCTAGGAGCATGGCACGTTCCTTCCCACCCACGAAACTGCTAGAATTTACAAGAGGTGTATTTCCCACCGTTACTTGCAGATCTAAAAGTAGAAACCAGAAGACCTATAGCTTCCACTTTTTGCCTGAACACCGTATGAGCAGACTGCCTTTCTAGCTGAGGAGGATTTACCCTGCTGGTGGCGACTACCGAAAGGCGCACGGCAGTACCTCCCTGCCTGCCCCTGCAGTTGGCAGATGAGCTCTGTACCCCAGCCTCTGACTGTCAGTTACTGTAGGTCTCCAGGAAGGTGGGCATGACTGTGATTCTCCAAATACGCACAGCCAAAGCACCTACGCAGCCTTAGGTTCTTTGCTGGTGTGCTGAAGGAAAGACACTAACATCCAGGATCTTCTGTCTCTTCCTAGAAGACTGTTTAAAAATAGCTTTTGTTCTGAAGTTAACTTTGGTTTTAAGCAGTGCAGTGAGAGGGGTACAAATCTGAAAGCTGAGTTCAAATCCTTGAAATATGATTTCTAAAATATTAAAATTAAAACCATGAATAGTAACTGGGTTTATGGATGTTTATTTTAATAATTGATGGCTCTCAAAGAGTAATGTTTTCAAATATATACTATTTACATCATTAAAAATATCCCAAAGGCTGTAGTTTGGCAGTCTGTCCTAAGCCTGGTTTAGAGTTTGAAGTAGCGCGAGACTGTAGACTGGCACTTCTAACAACTGTTCACATACACACACATGTAAAGACTGTGGCTAAATGGTACTTCTCTTGCAGGAGAAGCGAGTGTGAAACTGTGTGTGATCAGAACACCAACTGAAATTTGCTTTGGTACTTCTCTGTGTTAAATGAAAGACTTGATACGGGAAAAAACTTCTTCTGTACGTCTTAGTTTGCAGTCTTTCAACTCTTGAAGTAGTTATTATTTAGAATTGTAATAATCACTGTTTGGTGGCTTTACTAATGTCCGAGCAGGTCTTGGTCAATATTTTTTTGTTCTTTTCTAGTCTTTCTAGTGTCAGTCTTCCTTTAGCCAAGATAATTCCAATAATAAATGGACAGATCCATTCAGTATGCAGTGAAACACCCAGTCACTTTGTTCAGGTAAGAATCTTGCTTATTTAAAATAGCCCAAGTAAAAATTTTGAAGTGAATGTTGTATATTTCTTTTTAATAACGTACTCCATTCTGCTTAATTTCAGTGGCTTTAAAAAAAAAAAAGTAGAAACAATTGGCATAACTTAAACTTTTTGTAAATTTATACCTTCAAAAAATATGCTGTTTTTTCCTCTCCCATCTGCTGAACTGTGCAGAAGCACAGAAAGGTCTCTTGACTTGGTTCTACTTGCAGTTCTGCTCATGAAACCTTCTAAAGCAAGAAATTTGAGTTACATCTCTGTGGGAGTGCCAGGTGCTTGTCTCATGATGAATTATGGACTGGAGCAAAACCAGAATAGTGGTTTGATGAAGCAAATTTATTTTTTAAATTTCTTCCAGGACCTGTTGATGATGGAACAAGTGAAGGATTTTGCTGCTAATGTTTATGAAGCTTTTAGTACCCCTCAGCAACTAGAGAAATGAACTGCACATTTATAGGACTAGATCATGTATTTATAACAAATCCCTCATGACTACTGATGAGGCTTGGGTTAATTTTGTAATGGCGTAGGAGTGGTAGCCCAGCAGAAGGAACATTCTGAAAAAAGTGGGAGTGAGCCCGTATTTGTTATGGGCTATTAATAGAATTCTGTTTCAAACACCCATTAAAAATATTCTTGTTGAAAGAATCATTGTATGCAAAGACTTTTCTATTAAAAAAAGTGTTTAAACTCTTCCACAATTCATTTGATGATTTTTATTGCATCTGAAAGGCGTCTGGCGGCAGTATTACAACAAGTTGCTAAAAAACCCATTTGTTTGCCCGGGGTGTGTAAGTTTTGGAAAAAACTAACGGTAGTGACCTAAGAATAGCACAGAGTAGCAGTATGAAGTAAGGTTGCTTTCTTCTTATCCCAAGTTTTTCTTTTTATAAAGGAAAACTCTTTCTTTTCCTGAACTTTACCAAGTTATTCCAAAGAGTCTCTCACTCTTCAGAAAGCCTTTGCCAGCTGATGCACGTTCCTCTTGAACAAGCTGGGGGTGTTCTGTTACCTAATACTAAAGGAATGTGGGTTTTTAGGAGTTCTCTTGTTCATGCTGTTCAAACAGCTATGCTGTACACATTAACTTGTAAATATTTTATCTTAATTTGTATTAATTTTGAGCCCAATTGTCTGTATTGTAATAAAGTATTTTAATGTAAAATTTGTGCGTGTATTAGCATTACTCACAGGAAAGGCAATAACCTCCTTTGGCCCATCAGTTAAAATCTTGACATAGTTGAAAGAAAAAATTTAACTTGTATAGAAACAATTGTGCACTTATTAACATTACTCAGGAAAGAGAAACCTTTGGTGTCTACACTGAAAAAATTCATGCTTTTTATGTCCTATAACTCCCCCTCTTTGCAAACTTCACACTACAGGGCTGTCCCTACACATCCTGACACAGGATGAGTTTGGGAGTTTTTCAACTTGGCTGCAATCTGCCCTCAGCTTTGGCAGAGAGACAGCATTTTAAGCAGAGGATCCCTGGCTGCTCCTGATTATTTCTCTTTTTTGAAAATGTTAGTCATTGAAGTATGTGCTTTGTTTAATAATCCACAGAAGGCACCCTGGTAACTGCGTAAAAACAATGGCTGTAAAGAAGAGGCAGCTTTAACTGTGTAAAATTATACAAAACAGCAAAAAAACCTTTCCCGCTTTACTTGTATCCCAGGAATGGATAGAATTACCCAAGAGTAGGAACAAGTAAAATTAATGACCCTCACCATGAGAGATGAAGACGTACACATGCATTGCCTCCCTGCATTTGTGATGAATTCCTAACCTTGCTAGGCCTCTTCTTGCAAGTACATTACTGTACTCAGCTGAAACTGCCAGTTGGTGCATACAACTGGAAAAAGTTTATTCTTTTCTCTAAAAGTGACAGTTTTTACTGTACAGTTTTGTAGAAGTTTGATTTCTGGCATTACAGAAGGTATGCAAGTGCCATAGGTGCATGCAGTCACTGGCTTTCTCATGGCTTTCGCAGTCCAGGGCCTGTTTTCCCCCACCCTGTTCTTCACGCAACTTGGCAAGAAGCTGGCTAAAAAAAGTGCAGAGGTCAAGGTAGAGGCCCTGTTTTTCACACAAAAGTCAAAGAAAAATTTTATGCAGAGATTCCCCTCTCCAGTGCTAGCTAGATTTCAAGTGAGGTTTATTCCATCCCATCCCTTAATAACAGCCCACCTTTCATACAAAAAGTGAAAGTATTTATGTTTCTCAGCCAAGCAAGAGCTGGAAACTGGTGATGAGAAACTGGGCAAAAGATCAGCAGTCCCCACTAGCCAAGGATCCAGCAGTGGATGGCTCAGTTTATGTCAGTCAGTTGTAAAGTCCAGCCCCACTGACACGGCAGTTGCTTCAGAGTTAACTGAGGTAGCACTATAACGATTCCCTTTTCTCCCAGTGCAACCCATTTCAACAGTTCCTTGTAGCCAAGCAGCTTCACCTGAGACAAAAACACACACTATAATTAAAACGGTGCCTTTTCAAAGTGCATGTAATTGCAATATTGACAAAAGAAATGTTGATCCGTAGCTGTCATACTATGCAATTATCCTTAAATGCCACTTTCCAAGCAAACGAATGATGATGATTAAAGGCAATAGAAAAATACTTGCAAAGTAGATATGTTAGCAATAAAGCTAGTGATGTTGGGTCTTGAGAAGTACTTAGGGCTGTAAACACTTTTCAGAAGTATATGGGACGGGATTTGGGTCTAGGCAGGGATTGAGGTGCCACAGTGCACAGCTTTGTATCACCTATTGCCAAAATGCCTCCTTCCCGCGGTGGAACGTGTAGTCGAATAAGCATCACTGTTTCGTACAGAGTGCAGCCAGGCATCCCAAACAAAGCTGACCTGAAGAACCCCTCCACTAAAAACACACAAATAGGTTTTATGGTGAGACTCTTACGCAAGCTGGTGAAATGCTGAAAATAGAGGAGCAGCTGAAGAACAGCCTGGGCCGCTGAGGAACATTATGCTCTTGCGCACGTACAGTCTAGATGCCTCTCCAAAATTCAAGATGCATCTACATCACTTCCGAAATTACTCTTTTTCCTTATCACAGAGCTGTCTTACGCTAATTAAATTATTTTCATATGGAACTCGACGAGAAGAGGCAGTTCAGAAACACCCTTAATGCATTTCAGCAGCTAGTGGACATCCAGTGCATGAGACCAGACCAGAGCTGAGCCAAAGGGATTCCCCACCTTAACCACTCAGCGCTGGCAGCAAGCCCGGAGGACCAGCTGGTTCTGCTCTACAGCTCCACTCCCATCGGGTCACGCTGCTTGCTAGCGCAGGCGCGGCATCGGTGTCCCCAACTTCTGGCCACCGCTTGCTGCGAGACTCACACCCAGGGTCGCACTGACTTACTCTTTGTAGCCTCCCTGGGCCACAAAACCCTCTGTGTGCTTTCCCTTTGTGCCAGGCTTTGACTTGAAACTACTGCACCATCACAGCAATTACAGTAGCGCCAAGGCCATGAAGATGGCTATTTATTTATAAAGAAAGGCGGTGCTAAGAGTCTACCCAGAAAGCAGGAGGGGCAGCACAGCGTTTGTCCCTGCTACTTGGCCTCCGTTTATGATCCTTAGTTTGCAAGCTAAAACATATCCCAGTGACAATTCAGTCTGACTTTGTTCGAGAAGAAACATCCCACTGGGAGCACCATGACAAGGAGGTCCCAGAACAAAACCAAACATTTCACTGGGTCTCTTCCAGCTACTCTGTCCTAAGAGCAATGTATTCCCAAAGATGCCAGAAACTAAAATAAACATGATGGAACATGACAAATCCTAGAGGAGTTTTTCTTCAGAGTACATTCATTTCTTGCCCTGTGTGCTAAAAGCCTCGCTGTTCTAAAGGGGAGTGGGGGGGTGTTGTCTTTTACCTGTGTTTCTCCAAGCTTTGCCTGTGGCTCACCAAGTTCCAGAGTCCCAGAGACTGGCCAGTTAAGGAAGATGGCATTGACTTTGCCTTCTTTAGGGCTGAAAGTGTACCTGGTCGGGAACAGAAATGCATGTCAGTTTTTTTCTTGTAAATGTCCTGAAGTGATACATCGAGTGCTTTCAGACTGGAAAAATGGATTTGAAAAGACAGCATTAATTACCCTTTCCCACACATAACGATCTTTTCAGACAATCGATACCCTTTAATAAACTACCGCTCCTTGCAAATATGTTCCAAGAAACTAGAGATAATAGAGACTATTAAAGAGTTGAATTTGGGGGTAAACATCTGTAGTAACTTTAGCAAGCACATAAAAACTCTCTGCTGCTCAGACATACAGGAAGGAGGTACTTGCAGGGCAGCAGAAATCATTAACAGAGAACTGTGCGTTATATTCAGAAAAATATGGTAATTCACATCTATACATAAACACACAGACACTGCACTAATAAACAAGAGTATGTGACAATAAAGCTTCCACCTTGCATAGCTAGTTTTTTAAAAATTAATTTCAGCAGACATCATCTACAGGATGTCCTTGGAAATCCTGTCGCATACGCTTGAAACATTCCTCCCTCCTTCCTTCATTTAGTTACAGGTTTTTTTGCTCTTGGAAGTGGTTTTACTAAACAGTCAACAGCTCAGCATTTCAAGGCTAAAGCCACCCAGCCAAATTTTACTGGCAATGGGAGTAAAAAGGCCCACTGAGGCAGAGAAGAGGGTCAAGACCAAAACCCTGATGGATCGTTGAGGCGTTACAGCAGCTCTGAGGCACAAAGACGGAGGAGAGTCCAGAGACTGCCTGAATTTAGTGGCCAAACAATTGCTGTTACCTTCCCATGCATTTGTACCTTAAAAAGACATGCAGAATATGATGAACTGATTTCTAGTTTTCTTTCTCTCCCCTCTTTCTCTATAAACAGTGACACCAAGGACTCCTTTGTACAGAGAAACACTTCACAGCAGTTTTATATTTCTGGAATTTTGGGTTGGTTTTTTTTTTATACTTTCTCTTGCCAGCTACACTAAGAAGCACAAGATCACTAAGGAAATGCTTGCAACCTTCCCTTCGGCCTCCACATCATCCCAAAACTATGGTCTCTGACACCCATCATCTACCTACAGTTTTACACACACTTTTATGTGCAGTTACTTAAACTGACAGAAGGGTTAAGTTCTTCACGGCGTACAAACGACGCTGGTGATTTCTGTGGCACCAAGTCATTAAGAATTCCAGAGTTTCACCTCCACTGCTGCTGCTTTAGGCAGCCTATGTTTTGATTCAGTAGCCTTACCACACTCCTGGTGTGATCGTGTCGTTCTGTGCTCTCCATGGTTTCGTTCCATAGATGGCGTCTCCGTTGACTTTCAGCCAGGCACCCATCTGCCTCAGGCGTTCCTCAAACACAACAGCAATGTGACCGTCGTGAGTGGGCCCGATATTCATCAAGAGATTTCCTCCACAAGACACTGTTTCTACAAGTTGCTGAAATGTTATTAAACACATACACAGAGCATATGGTTACAGCTAATGAAATCATACATTTGAAGTACTTTCTAAACTCTGCCGTACGGCTTCCGAATGATGAACTGAACGAGTTACGTTACCGCTGCGTGTTTAGGCTTTGGGGTCATCCCAACAGTCAACAGACAAATTTCAGCTCCCATAAAACAAAGCTCTGCTGTCCATCTTTATGGCAGAAAACAGCCAAAGACACATTTTTGCACCAATATGTCTGACTGAATCTACATTAGAATCAGATCCTACAACTTTTTAACATTTTAACTTCTGCAGGAATTTCATGAGGGTTTTACCAATAGAACAGGTAGGAGACGATTTCTCTGCACGAGAGGAGAACAGGGCTAATAGATGCCACTT